TATATTTTTAATTGTTGCCTCTTTTGTAATTGCAAATTGCCTTAAATCTTCTTTGTTAAGTTTTGTAAAAACGCCATATCAACTTAGCCAAAATACAATAACTAGTTTGAGTTATACAAAGTATTCAATAGCTACAGTCGCTCTAGTTACCTATTATCTTTAAAAAAGTGGATATAGGATAACAGTAGTAACTTTTGAGAGTGAAGTAAAGAAAATATTAGAAGAAATTTTAGATGTTTTAAAATTAATTTTAAACTTGGTATAAAGAATTTTTGCAGCTTCAGGTTAAAATCTTTTGTTATAAAGTTCTTTAAGATAAGTAACAGTAAGTTTATCATCCAGTTTTGAAAATATAGAAATATACCAAAACTTTGGCAAAGAAGTCAGTATTAACTGATTTAGCTGTAATTTTGTTAATAGCTTGTTGAAGAAAAAGATTATTAATCTGGTTATTATGTATAGCAGCTTTTAAATATGTATTAAAGTAGCAATAGAAATAATAACTTTAGTGTGGAAAGTCTCTTTTACTGTTGTTATTAAGATTTATAGATTTATTTTCAGTAGTAGCTATAAGTTTTCTGAAAAAAGAAATAGATATAGGTTTTTGAGATGTGGATATATAATTGTCTCCTTTATTAAATATTGTAAAGTTAAGAGTAGGATAAATAGTTAATAGTTTTGAACTTGTAGTTGTTTTTTCTAAAGCTGAAAAGTGGATAAAAGAATTGGTAAAAAAAGTACTAACATTATGATCTTTGTCTTATAATAAAGTAGTATATTTTTTAACTTGACAAATATGAATATAGTATAAAGCTGCTTTAAATCATAGTTGAATACATTCATAAAGAGAGTTAATAGATATAATAATAAATTGTTCCGAGAGTAGTGTTTTGCTGATATGAGAAAGTTTAAGTACAATTTGGTGTTTGATATAATTATAAACCTTTTTTGTTTAATAATATAAAATTGATATTTGTATATTTTAAAGAATTTGTCAAACCAAGTATTAAGTGCATGTTAATATTCTTTGAGAGAAAGAATTTAAAAGGTTTTTAAAAATGATTTTTTAGAAATATTAAGAGAGATATTGATATTGAATTTGTTACTATATCATTTTAGATTTTAAAAAGTGATTAATTAATACTGTCTTCACTGATATAATAGTGCAGTTTAAAGCATATTGGTTGTACTTTTAGATCTATATAAAATTTATCAGAATTAATAGTTTGATATTTGTTGTGAAGAATATGATAAAATCGAGTAAAGTTAAGTACTACTTGTTTGCAGTTGGCAAGAGAGTAACGTGGAATAGAGCTAAATAATGCAAAAATTTTTAGATAGTTAAGTTGAATAAAGAGTGTAGTTGTAAATTGTTTAAGTAGAGTAGTAAAAGTAGAGAAGAAGATTAAATGGAATAGAAATTGATTTATCAATTGTGGGGTTGTATTCATGAATAATATCTGTTAAAAATTTGGTAGTTTTTTTTTTTGGTTTTAAGGTGACTTCTTGATTGCTATCCTTTTATTTGGTTATTGTTAACTTTTACAGTATGGTATATACCATACTATACATATATTTAGAGAGTACAACTAGCCACATATACAACTTTTAGTTGTCTATTAAGTAGTCTCTTATTACTAAGTTTTACACTAGCTGCTATATATATAATCCTACTGTATTACCCATTTAAATCCTCTATGCCTATATATATTAATTCTCTAACTGAGTGAGAATACATTAGTACTTCCTTATTTTCAGATCTCCAACTTAGAACTTTAAGACAGATCCACCTATAGGGGTCCTTTGTTCTCAAGGTAAACCTGCTAAAGCTTTCTATATCCACAATCTGGTTAACTAGACTTCAGTAACTTACGCCAAGTCTGAGGACAAGTACTTGCGAGCTGAAGCCATTATCGTTACCTACTTCCTGCCCTTGTAGAGTTCACCTAAACCTAGTACATACTTTACAGACTATTACTACAGTGCAGGAACCCTTAAATCAGCAAGTCCTATTATATGTTGCCAAATTTTGTATGTTGATCAATCAGACCAAAACTAGGTCAGAGCCAATAAAATTTCAGGAATAAGTAATAAAAATAAAAAAGAAGAATCTAATAATTTCGCATCTACAAACATTAATTATAATGATTACAAAAATAAATAAAGTATTTTCTAGACAACTAATTCAATAGACATGTTTATTTTATACTGTAGTTTATTTCATTTAACAAGTTTTTATAAATTGCATTAGCCCGGTATAACATTCTAAATGAATTTGTCTGTAATCATATATAAATCTTATAAATTGTATGTAAACTAAGTCTGTATCATTTCACTAATACTTATTTTACCAAAAGCTTATTTTTCAGATGATTAAATTTACTGACAAATTTATTTCGTAGATAGCATATTTCACTAATAGCTTATTTCACAGACAAGTTTTCTTTTATAAGTTGCTTAACTTTAATAACTAAGCAAAATGAGCTATCAGAAAAATAACTGTCTATAAAATAAACTTATAATAAATTAATCCAATAAGCTTGTTGATAAAATGGTGTTGATGTGTCTTTGAAATAATCATCAGTGAGTTCGAAACTGCTATGCTGAAGAACTAAGTTGTCTAAAAAGTAATTGTCTTCAAAGTGAGCGGTACTAGAATCACAAGATAGAAAATTTGGTCTTTTATTCTAATTATATAGCTAATATGTTTTGTATCAGAGAAGTTAAATATTGCAAGGTTTCAAAATTTGAAATAATCGAATTATGAAATTCTAATTAAGTAATAATTGTGATGAATTAAAATTAAATGAAATATGTATAATTTAAAAAATTGACAAACTACCGAAAAATAATTTTTTAGACACATTTGTTAGGGTTATATGTTAAGGATATGGGTTAGTTTTGGAATAAAGTTTAGTATAAGTGGATTTTAGAGAGCTAAATAGAAGCCTATATTTCATTTTAGCCTGATTTCATTATGATTTGTGATAATAATTTATTCAACTTTTTTTAAAATTTCATTGTAAATATATCGATTTTAGAATAGATAAATTTTTGATTTTGATATATAGTATATTATGAATTAAAATTATTGTAAAAAAAATAATTTTTATATTTTTATTTAATAATGGTTTAAAATGATATATAATAGAAAATATATACAACCAACTCATATGCAAGCAAATACAGAACTTTTTCAAAATTCATTCCCAACCCGCTTGGCGTATTCTAACCATTATTGTATTCTGGTGATGAATTATTTTTTTTTTTAAGTCGTCATTATTCAATTTATTAAATACGTAGTGATTATGAGTTCTGAAAACTCAAATAATAATTTTTTTACAATATTATTTTTGTCATCTTAAATGAGCGAAAAATACCAATATTACCAGACTTTTTTTGGCAAATTTGTTAAAATTAATGAAAGCCCCATGCTTATTATATTTGACTTCAATTTAATGAACTTGATCTAAAATAAGCTAGTTATTAAGTAATATAAAAATATAACAAATTAACAGTTAATACCATAGTGCACTGATCAAAGTACTCCCTTTTTGCATACCTCACTCAAAATATCTGAGTACTTTGTATAGCATTTTTTTTTAACCATGGATAATACCCAGATATTTTGTATAGCATTTTTTACGTTAATACATATTGATTTCTGCATTACATATATAAGATCATACAAAATACCCTCTATACAAGATACCCGTTATTGATCAAGATACCCACAGGTACTTTATAAGTTTTTTTTTTATTAGATTGTATTGGAACCCGGGTACTTTGGTTAGTGCACTATGGTAATACCATATAAAATTTTACCTACTTGTTAGTTATCGACTTCACCAATTTTATTTAAAATTGACTCCGGAACACGGCGATGTGATCGATATTTTTTCACAGCATACTCAGCAATCTTTTCTGTCAAGCCTTTACGATATACATCCATATATCTAAAGGCCTTCTGTGCATATCGTCTAATCTCAATTAGAGACACTAATTCAAGAGCTTTTGGGATAGTCCTTTTCAAACCTTCTCACGTATTTTCACAGTTATTTCATGCATATCTTTTTGCTGATCCCCAAAAGTTTTCTATATAATTTAATTTACAGTGAAATTTCAGATAAAAAATGTCATCATGACTCACAGAAATGATCGCCTCTTTAATTTTTCTATGTTGTACTCTAAAATCAGATTGATTTGCCATTGTTGTCCTGGCGCAGCAGTCAGTTTTTCTATCTTTACACTCCTCCTTACATACCAATCTCATTCCATCACACCACAATCCCCTTTCACTTAAAACTTGCTTTAAACCTTTTGGTTTATCTTGCAAAACAGGATCTTCATAATCTTCAAGAAAACACATATCTTGTTGAATATTATCTTCATATGTGGTGCTTCTAAATATTTGAAAAAATATTATACAGTATATCAATATATTAAAATTTTAAATTATTTAAAATAAAATACAAACTGCATTTTTGGTTGTTTGCCGCCAGGAGATAAATTCATATTTTTTGTTAGAAGAGTATTTTCGGCATATACACAATAACTAGTTGCATTATCAAATGTGAAAAGAGCTTTTGCATCTGGAAACCGAGCTTCAAATATTGAAATTACACAGTTTACAATCTGATCCACAAGATCATCCGAATCCCACCACTTATCACCATTTTTGCTTAGATAACTTATGATACATGCTTCTGATGGGAGGTTAGGAAAAGCAGCCTAAAAAATAAATTATTAGAATTTTTTAGTTATAAACAAAATAATTAAACCTCAAACCCAACAGTTTTAATATATACCTTGTCTTCTTTACGCAGTACTAAACGACCACCAATATCAGTAAGAAATTCGCTTATATGAACTGACCACCCTTGGCTTTTTTTACGAAGCAGTTGTTCCTCTTTCGGTATCCACAACCAACATCTCCTGTCATACACTAAAAAAATGCATTCATCATGTGTAACCAAAATTACAATATTATTAAATGCTGGTCAGATTTCTTCTTTCATATTTTCACCTGAAAAAATTATCATTTGCGTTTCATATACTGCCATTCTTTCTAAAAATCTTTTATGATAAGCCACCACATCTGCACACTTATGATCATCCATGTACATTTCTTTCCTAACTTCCAAGTATTCAAAACCAAATGTTTTTAACCACTTATAAGCTGTTCTTACACATATGGTTGGAGAAGAATTAAAGCAAAGACTTGGAAGTATCTCCTCATTCACATGTTTTGCTAGTTCATTTGGATTTACATTCCATTTGTTGGATCGAAGGAAGGACTTAATTTGCATTAAAATATCATCATCCCATAAAAAACTCCAGGTTTTTGGGTGTTTACCTAGTCTTAAAATTGGAAATGCACCATTTTTAATATAATTTGTTGCCTATGAACGTATACAACGGGCATGATAAACACCCTTCCCAGCTGCTTCTGCTACTATAATACTTGCCTCTATTTTTTTTCAACCATGTTCTACAAGTTGAAAATAAGATAGCATTGTATAAAGGCGTGCTTTTTCCACCTCACTATGCTTATTACTTTTAATTTCATTTTCCAATTCTTTAATAGTATCACTCAACTTCTTAGAGGATATAATGCTATGACCTTCAGCAGTTTCAACTTCAAACCTGTCTTCAATAATTTCAGAATCATTATCTGAATCAATATTATCCAGATTTGTATATGCATTTACTGTCTTTTCAAAATAAAATAAATAAATATTTTTCATATTATAGTTCACTAGCTAGAATGATTTAAAAATAACTTACTAGTAACCAAAATAATTCTAGCTTGAGTGTTCCAACGGCAGCTTTCTTCTGCATTTGTCTTCACCACCTTTTTGTTTTCACAGAATTTCTAATATACACAAGTGGATGATGAGTAATTACTTCTGAAATTGCTTACATTAATTTTGTAATAATATTGTTTGCTTCTTCAACTCTCAAAATGCTTATTTCTCTATCACTATCTTCAGCATCATTAAATTCATCACCACCATTGCTACGATTTTCTGAAGTTTCAACTTGGCGTTGGTTTTTAGCTTTTTTTGCCTTTGAGACTTTTGTAAGCAAGCTCTTCTTTTAGATAATCAAACCATTTTTATGTGCTAAAAATCAATGATTATTAGGCCTTATTTGCTTGCTTTTCATATAATATTAATTTGTTATTTAATTACCTTTTTTTTCTTTTTCTTTTTTTTTATTTTTTTTATTTTTTTTATTATTATTTTTTTTTGATTACACACTTCTGATATTATTGTGAATTGAGTTATACTCGAGATAAAAAAATAACTTTAACAGCTTGTACCCTTTTATATTTATACTATGCTGACAAATTATGTAGACACCATTCACAAGCATTATAATTTTAAACAAGTGAACCAATGTTTTGGAATGAATGTGATAAATTTTTTATGTTATAAATCATACGATGCCTTTTGTGATTTTTTCATAGAGCCTTGAGTGTTATCATCAGGTAGAATAATTTTTTTCACTACAACTTAAATACTTGCTTATTCTCGATTACTCTTTTTTTCTACCTTTCTGCTCTATAGTTTGCTAATCAAAATTCTGTTTACTAATCCAAATTCATAATTGTTATTTATCAGATGTTGAATGGGTTAACAAATAGGATTTTACTTACATGAAACTTAACATTGCTCTTTTTATTTTGTTCAACTTATTCACGATCACATACAATATAGCATTAGGTAAAACTTTATTTTTTATTTCGGTTTGCATCTTTTTGATCTTACAGTACTAACGATAATTTCCATATTTTTAATTGACTATTTTTATTTTCAGAATTCAAAGTATTTAGAGAATTTTGACATACTTATCGTTATACTATCACTTTTAAGACACTCAAAAAAATTTGTATTTTATTCATTATTTTTGTAAAAACTCTAGTCACCTATCCATTTATATAGATATAGCATTTACTTTATTTTATTACGGATTATGACTATATATAATGCATCATTACATATTTTTAATGCATGATTACAGATTCGGTATGGTGCAGGAAATCTAAAACCTTAACCTTAGAACAAAAAATAACTAGCATATTGAAGATAAGCTAAATTCAGTAATGGCTTATTTTAAGTTTCAGCTATATGCATAAAACAGCTTCTATTAAGTACATATTATTCTTGGTGTATTATTGCCCATTATTCTATTGAGCTTGATAATTTAAGAAATTTATTCTCAATAAACTACTTGTTTATGCATCATCTTAGAATGAAGATTGAGGTTTTTAAATTTCCTGCACCATACATACATACGTACTATCGATCATATATTTCGACCAATCAGTAGCCTTATTTTGCAGTCACGTGAGCGGCTAAATTTCTGGTTTCATTAGTAAAGTCAACCAACTTTAAAAGAATTCAACACAATAAAAATTTAATAAATCAAAAAACAAATTCTATAGCCTTATTCCTTAAGTCTTATTTTATATTTTTATAGAAAAAAAAAACAGTTTAATTATACTAGTTATTTTTTTATAACAATTTAAAAATTGTCTATTTTATATGTTGATTTAAGGATTCCTGCACTGTAGTATCCAAGTTCTATCAGTCATCTAAATTCACAATCCAGATAGCTTAGAGAGGCTATAACTTGCCCTGATCTTCACAATTAGGTCTTTTTCTTCTGGCTACTCACTTGGCAGCCTGGTTAGTATAGTATTTACTAAATACTCAGTCCTTATCCAGATCACTAAAATTAGTATCTGGATTCCTTAAATAATCTTTTATAAATATTGTCGAAGATTTGTGCTACCTCTCTATTCAGAACTTGCTAAGTAGGCTTCTATATGTCCCAATATCTAAATTTATACAGCCATTTCACTCAGGTTTATATAACTTATGCATTACACTACAGTTCCATAGCTTCCCAATAACCCCTAATACAACTAAGTTTATAGATCCAATGATCCATCAGATTATACATAGTTTGCTATAATACATTCTGTAAAATTCGAATTTCGTCATCAGTAGAATTCGAACTCTTGTCCTGCCACTTGGGGATGCGACAACCAGGGTTCTGCAAATGTTTATACTGGTACATGGAGCACTGTGCCAGGCACCAATGCCTTGTGTCATGCCGGTGCCTATAAGCAAAAGGCACTGGGCAATTTTAGGCCAGCATCTTTGTATTGTACCCACAAAAATGCAAAGTAGGAATTTGCAAGTGCCTATGTCAGGCATAATAGCATCATGCCAGACACTAATGTGACTCTATCAGGAGTCTAAACATTTTTGCAGTAACGTGATGTAGTGTATTGTGGTATATTCAGATAAGTTTTTTGGCTTTATATTATGTTTTTAATTAGGGTTCGTGGCTATAGGCTTTGAAAGATCATTGCTATATGTAAAATTATACTCCCGACATTTTTTGTTAGTATCTAAAGGCTGATTTAAATACTGGTTTTTGAGTATTTTCACCTTTTTCTCTTTTTTTCTTCTTGTATATG